TATATATATATATATATATATATATATATATATATATATATATATATGTGTGTGTGTGTGTGTGTGTGTGTACACACACACATCTATATATACATATATATATATGTACAGGTCCTTCTCAAAAATGAGCATATTGTGATAAAGGTCATTGTTTTCCATAATGTAATGATAAAAATGAAACTTTCATATATTTCAGATTCATTGCACACCAACTGAAATATTTCAGCTCTTTAATTGTTTTAATACTGATGATTATGGCATACAGCTCATGAAAACCCAAAATGCCTGTCCCAAAAAATGAGCATATTTCATCCCACTCTCCTCAGCCTCCCTGGTAAGGTCTATTAAAGGTACTGGAGAATCGAGTCCGATCGTTGGTGGAACCTCAAATCCAGGAGGAACAATGCAGGTTCCATCCTGGCCGTGGAACACTGGACCAGCTCTTTACCCTCACTAGGGTCCTCGAGAGGTCATGGGAGTTGGCCTATCCATTCTACACGTGTTCTGTGGACTTAGAGAAGGAATTCAACCGTGTTCCTCGGGGTACACTGTGGGGGTGCTCCATGAGTATGGGATTGGGTGCCCGTTGTCATGGGCTGTTCAGTCCAAATACAAGTGGTGCGAGAGTTTGGTTCACATTGCCGGTAGTAAGTCGGACCCCTTCAGGGTGGGAGTTGGACTCAACCAGGGCTGCTCGTTGTCACTGATTCTGTTCACAACTTTCATGGACAGAATTTCTTGTTGCAGCCAGTGGGCCAAGGGATGGATGGATCCAATTCAACACTGCAATGTAAAAACTTATTCCAATAAATGACTCAATTAAAACTAAGGTATTAATAGAGTTTAAACAAATGATGAGAAAAGCTGATCTGAAAGGCTTGACCTAAACATGATATTTTTTTTTTTTACTTCACATCCATCCATCCATTATCTCCGCTTATTCCGAAGTCGGGTGGCGGGGGCAGCAGTTTGAGCAGGGAGGCCCAGACATCTCTTTCCACAGCCACCTCTTCTGGGAGGATTCCAAGGCCAACCGAGAGACATAGTCTCTCCAGCGTGTCCTGGGTCTTCCTCGAGGTCTCCTCCCAGTTGGACATGCCCCTTCCTCTTGACGTGAAAGAGTAGCAGTTCTACTCCGAGTCTCTCCCGGATAACTGAATTTCTCACCCTATCTCTAAGGAAGGGTCCAGCTACTCTGCAGAAGAAACTCAACTGAATTGAATTGAAATTGACTTGTATAGGAACCGAACAGCCTGTAGCAACGGGCCCCCATCCTATGCTCACGGAGCACCCCCCACAGCGTACCTCGAGGAACACGGTCAAAAGTCTTCTCCAAGTCCACAAAACACATGTAGACTGGATGGACAAACTCCCATGACCTCGAGGACCCTAGTGAGGATAAAGAGCTGAACCAGTGTTCCACGGCCAGGACGGAACCCACATTGTTCCTCCTGAATATGAGGTTCAACCAACGATCAGACTCGCTTCTCCAGTACCCTAAATAGACCTTACCAAGGAGGCTAAGGAGAGTGATGCCCCTGTAATTGGGAGCACACCCTCTGGTCCCCCTTCTCAAAACGAACAGTTTGAAATAATATATAATAATTATAAAATTAAATTATACTTTAATACCTTTTTTGTTGTTCTAAACAGCAAACTTTTGAATTTCTCTTTAAACCAAACTATTTGGCTGCATTTTCTTTAAGCCCACTGCCTTGGATCCAAAGGACTCACAAGGCCTCAGTGCGCCACCATCTACATCCAGAATCCATCCATCTACACAGAATTAAAGGATATCAGCCGAGATGTCGAAGGTGATAAAACCCAGATCACTTCTTTCTCTGGGTCCAGTGAAGTCATCCACATTCTTCCTGTTAAACAGAAGCAAAACACAGATCAAACCGAAAGAAACTCCAACTGACAAGAAGGTCAAAGAACTGAAAGTACTAAAGTTCTGATAAATGGAACTCAAAAACACCAAGAAGCAGACATCACACATGACCGATAACATTTTACAGTTTACAAACAGACGGTGGTGTGTCAAAGATAGAGAACTTTACTAATTGGCTTTTATGTGAATGTTTCTGTAAAGTCCCTGAGACAACTTTGTTGTGATTTGGCACTTTATAAATAAACTGAATTGAATTGAATTCAAAGCTCGACAGCGCTCAGACTGAATTTGTGGAGCTGCAGCAGGGAGCTGGAGCAGCTGTTATCAGGACTGTGATCTCCCTGGCAGCACACACGAAGAGAAATAATCTTGGAGAAGCTGTGAGCTCAACTTTGGAGTAAAGGATCAATTCGGCTGTTTTGGAGTTTCCATCAGAGAATATGTACCAGCGAGACTTTAAAGGCAGAAACAACAATTACGAGTTCTGCCTGACCCAAACTGTGGCCTTGATGCCGGACTTATCTCAACTCCTCCTGGAATGTTCAGAAAACAACAAAGATGCTTTGACTGTTTCCTCACCCCTCCCTCCCCCAAGGCCGTGGACATGTAACAGAACCTGAACTGAGCTGAAGATGAACGTCACCTCTTATCTGGACAATGGCTGGGGGGGGGGGGGCTCTGGACTATGCTACGACTTTCCCTTAAAAATTCAATGTTTTCACCGCCTATATGTTCATGTATAACGTCTGATTATGTTGCTTTGCTGTGGGAGGTTTGTTTGATGCCTCAAATCGTGCCCTGTCTAGGACACGGTGTGAGAGATCTTTTTTTATACCGTCTCTACTCATGTTTTCTTTCCTTTTCTCATCTAAGAGAAATATTATTCTGAATAAGAATAAGAGGCCGCGCTTTTTATAGTAGCAGCTTCGTGCACTCCGCCCATCTTCGGACGACTGTACGTACATGTTCTTGTTGTATCTTGGTGCAATGACAATAAAGTTTATTATGATTCTAACATGCTACAGAGCGGACAGAGCTCTCATTGAGGCGTCGCTCGTTTGTAAAGTTTACTTAACTTCCTTTGAAAACACGCCTCTGCTCTGATTTCAACTCGCTCTGCAGAATTCTGTTTAAACTTTAGTCAGCCAGCGCCGACGATACTCTGAAGGTCAAGAAAACGTCTCTGTAACGTCGTGAGAGACACTTAATCATGCAACACAACAAATCGATAATGAAATTCGTTGACAACACTTTGATCAATTTTTATTGATTTGTTGTTGCAGCCCTACTACACACACACACACACACACACACACACACAGATTCATACAACACTCTGAAACATCTAAATCATTGTCATAAATACTAAATAATGACAAAGCTAAACTGAATAAATCGTTTTATAAAGACTAATCAGAGCTGCAGATCATTCATACACTGATGGGACACACATCAGAGGCAGTGAGGGCTTCAGTGCCTTGCTCAGGGACACTTCAACATGTGGCTGCATACAGGCTGTTGGAGGACGACTGCTCTAACCACTGAGCCACTGTCACCTAACTATGGCTTATTTAAGGGTGTGGGGGGAAGGGGTGTTCCCAAAACCTGTGAAATGCATTTATGACGACTAATAAACGAATTGTACAAAGATGGAAGAAAAATGGACGACGGTTCACATTTACACTGAAGCAGCTAAAATCCTACACACTGTAAAGTACGTGTCGTATGTTCCCGTGGTGACACTGGCTCTCTGCATTTAACCCATCGCACCTGATCTCCAGGTGGAGGCGTGCAGCTGAAAGCAGCACTTACAGACATCTTGTAGTCTCTACCATATTTTATTTAATCATTCTCAAATGTACCAGGTATAAACTATGAATGTATTATTGCAATGGTAAAATGTGCAGCAGTTTGAATGATCAGCACATGCAGGTTCATAAAGTAAAACGTGATGAAGCACAGCTGGGAGGTGGACAAATGTGGACAGCATGTGGACAGCATGTGGACAGGTGGAGTCCACAGGAACTCTCTTCATTCTGAGGTTCACATTATACAGATTATAGAATCATAACAGCGCTTAAAGCATTTCTAAATGAATCAGACTCATGAAGCACAGCTGGTAGATGAAGGGAAGCCTTACAGCATAACTTTGGACAGGTGGATGTCCACCGGAACTCTTCTGTCTTTGAAGGCCGTGGTGACGAAACAGCCGAAGGTCAGAGCGGCCATGACGCTCAGAGAGAAGGCGAACAACGAGTTGGCTCTGGATAAAACCGTGTTCATCTTCACAGCTACTGCTCACACCGACAACAACTAGCGACGACTCACAGGAAGCAACAACCGGAAACTAGCGGACATCACTTCCGTTTACTGCTTCACCGCACTTCTTCTGGCGGCGGGTAAGCAAAGAGAAGGTGCACTGGCGCCCCCACCTGGTTTGGAGTGGAAACTGATCAGAAACAACAAGAGAATGGATGGATGGACGGATGGACGGACGGACGGGCAGACAGACAGACAGATAGACAGACAGATAGATAGACAGACAGACAGACAGACAGATAGATAGATAGATAGATAGATAGATAGATAGATAGATAGATAGATAGATAGATAGATAGATAGAT